CAATGCAGTTTCGCTTTATGCTCGATGCAAACATTACATGGGCGCGTCTTACTTACGTGCTCGTGCCTCCTGGCCGAGAGAATAAAGACTATGAAACTCAAAATTACAATTACGCCTGACATTTTTTACGCTAGTTCAGGTCTATACAAATTATATTGTATCAACTGTAAGTACAGACATTAATATTCTCGTATTCGCAGATGGTTGTGTTTTGTTGAAAACCATAACCTCTGTCGATGACCAAAATCTGCTTAATTCTTCTCTTACTCTAGTTGACGATTGGTGCAACAAGTGGGAAATGAATTTCGCGAAGACTGTTCACTTACGCGCGACATGGAAAATTAAACCTTTGAAATTCGCATCTCAAGTAAATAATGTTACAATATCCGAAGTGAGTAAATACAAATATCTTATAGTAACCCTAACACGCGATCTACGATGTTCAAGGCATATCCAAAATATCACGCAGTTCCTCAGTTTTTCAAAAATTAGGTTTCCTACGACGCAAGTGAAGACATGTTCCAACCTCCGTTAACCTCCAAGCGTACAACTCCTTGGTAAGGTCAAAAATAAAATATGCTAGTATAATCTCGGATCCAAACACGAGAAAAGTTCCTTGAAAGTTTGAGATAATCGGAAGGAGAGCAGTTCCTTTTATTTATGAAAAGTACAAGGCTTGACTCCCCATCCTTCTTCATAGCGGCAAGCAATGTGATGTCCATAGAACAACCTAGAAAGATTGCAATACTAAAGCAATTGTATCTTCTTTATTATGAGAAGCTGTACGTCAACTCTAGTTTATATCTTACCTCTTTATCTTCCAAAGCCACTAGGAACCACCATTAATTTTATTTTCACCAATATTAGCTCGAACTAACAATTTCAAATTTTCATATTTTCCACGCACCTTATCATAATATTACGCCCCCCCCCCCCCCTTACATCTTCACAGCCCCTAAGTTTAATAAAGCACTTGATCATCATCCTTTTTAGGTATTGCCATTGTTCTCTTGTGTTGTAAGCATCTTTGAACATATGTTGTACAACTTTTTTTACCGTTTGTTAGTTATGGAAGTGTTAATTACTAATAATTATGAATGCTATGTGTAATGAAGGCTTGAATGTCTTCTGTACCTCACACCTGCATGGGCCTATCAAAATGCCTGCAGTATGTTATAAATAAAAATATAAGTAAATAAATACACGGCAAAACACAGCGGCACGCACTTTTTCGTAGATATTGAAAAAGGGGGAGTGTCGCGGTAAGCTTTCTATTACACTAAGGGTGGATAAATAGTATTTGCACCATAAAAAGTGTATCTTAAAATTTACTTTAGTGACCCTTTAAGCAGGCCGATGTAGTAATTTATTCTTATTTTTTTAGTATTTGTTCCGAACATATCTCAATGTCTATGTTCTACATCTTACCCGACTAACCTTTCTCCTACGTCAGCGGGTAATTATCGTGACATGGCGAGTAAACAATCCGCGACTCGATTTTGGAACGGCCGGTATAATCGCCGGGACTTACTTTGTCTTGGGCTACAGCAAAAAGAAAACATAGCACCGATGGCGGAAAATAGCCGATGATCTCTTTTAATCATGGCTAAAGCACTTGAAGAGACGATGATGTTTATACCGCTTCAAAGTTTTTCCTTGAGAGTGAGGACGCGGTGTTTGCTAAGGTGGCTCAACCAGCTCCTTTTGTTCACATTCCGTTTGGGCTGTATTCGCGTCTTCAGCTTGACGCTCGCTCTCTCGCGGCGGAAACGGGAAGCGCTTTAGTGAGGGTCCCCCAATTCTCCGGCTCAGCGGGCACGGCGGAACTGCTCGCGATCATGGCTCGCGAAATGTCATTTCCGAATGCAAACAACACTCTTCACTGCCTCACCGTAGTGCTGCAGCCAGTATGGGATTGTACCTTACTGGAGAGTTTTAGTATTGCGCATAGAAGCAAACGAAAGCGGTATGCGTTTGCGTTAGAGGTGCGTGCCCCCCGTTGTGCGGGCGCTTCATCGCCATGCGCCATGCAAGACCGCAATTTTGGGCTGCGCGCACGCGCAGTGTGGAACACGAAAAGCTAACGCAAACGCGCAGCGCTTGCGTTCGCTCGTATACGCAATACTAAAACTCACTGCTGTTTCACCGGCTTCCAACGCCAACGAAACGTGCTGTGGTGCGCAGACGAGCAACCAGGTAGGCGTTCCTTCGAACTGGAAAAGCTGAGATTGGCGAAACGAAGGAGCGTTAAAATAAGCAACTGAATGTTATAAAAATATTAATAGTTAAAAAAAGATTTTTTTTTTAATCTTTTGGGCATTTGGTTTGGAAGGATATTGGCGGCGACTTTGGACGTTTTGCCGATTGTCAATGTCGCGACTTTGATAGCAAAATATCCATACCCCTCATTAATGTAATTTTACATGGATTTTGGTCATTAGCTAGAATACCTTCATCGATTTTAAACTATTTTTATTTTATTACTTGGTAATTAAAAATGTTCAGCCTTTCCACTCTCGTGAAGAAGGAAGACCAGCGGAGCTGTACTGGATACACTGTGTGCTTCTTCTTCGTCGTCGTCTCTTTTTCGCGCTGTTTCCTACGATGAATTCCCACCAACGCGCCCAACTATCCATTTTTCTATTATAGCTGGAAAGGTTGCCGCCATCGGCGAGCGACGGCGGAAACCATACTGCTTGTGTGCTTGCCGCCGTCGCTTATAGATAGCGGTGGCTCTCCAGGTAGGTTTGTGTCGACATACACGGACACGATCCTGGGAAAACCAGCCCTTAACAGCTCCGTTGTAAAAATGCTGCAATTGGCACCAGTGATTTTGATTAGCACACTTTTGATTGACATATTTGTTCGCGCGTTTAAGATTAGATCATAAGAAACAAATTATATTAGAGCTTAAAAAATTACGTATTAAAATATCTGAATTTTAATAATATTATTAATACAAATGGCGGCAATGTATGCCCCCAATTAACGCCAATATCACTAAAATACGCCATTTAACCATAATAGTCTTTCCAGAAAGGTATAATTTTGTCTCCTTTTTAGCATAAGTAAAACTCTGACATCGTTATCAAGATCGACAAACAGTCAAACACTAGATGTAATATAAAGTCCTATGCGTCCTGCGTTGCCTATAATAAACACACGCACACACTTCAACTGTCTGACTCGGATTCCGTCTTTGGGTTGTTGCAGTGAGAGCAGCGTTTATTAATGGAAACATGTTGTGGACATATTGTTAAAATTTGAATTATTCTCTTAATCTTGTGCTGGGAATAATGTTAAACCAATTAATTATCTAAATACCTAAAAACCCATTAAAAGGCCCGCGGTTCATTGCTTCCCTGGACAATTATCTGAGCGAGAAAAGGCAGCGAGAACGTTAAAATATCAGGACTGATTTTTTTCAACAACTACAAATATCAGCCTCGATCGAACATGTCTACCACAAAATAAAGTTAGTGCTAACAACTTGTTTAACTAAATAATTACAATGTGAGACACATCTTGAGTTAGGAAAGGATCCGAAATTAAGACCTATATCGAGAAACTAAATTGAAAATAAAGGTTAGTTTCGGTTTTGCTCCAGAAGTAAGACGTGCCTCCTGGAGTAAGTATTACGCTAAGCACCGTTTTTGTTTTCAGGATAAAAGGGTGACCTGGACTGATAGCATCCTAGCTTCCACGTGTTACCAGAAATAATTTGTGTCACTCAGTGAAGCCAGCACACTAGACAGGCTCAACAGCGGCACGGATCTCCGACCCTCACTAAAACCGTCATTTTGCAAAACGAGTGGCGCCACCTATAGTTAGTTGAAGTCGCGAATATGGAGTTCACACTTATTTACTCCTTTCAGTTAGACTTTAAAAATGTGTTTTTATTAATCAGCGCGATCGCTGTAAGTCCAGGTCCAGGTGTCATAGACGCATATGTTTCACGCATCGTAATTGGCACCAATTGCGTTTTGCAGAAATTACTTCCACACGGTGTAGCAATACAGCGCAGGGGCTTTCTGAACAGTTATATGTAACTTGCATTCGCTTTGACGCGAATGTGATTACAAATTCACAAAGAAAAATTTCAATACCGCTATAGGGCAATTTTTTAGGGGAGACGTGCCGGGTTGTTGACTGATTACATACATGAAATGTTCAATGCTTTCATTGCTTTACAAGCGTTATCCTCTCATTACACACACTCTGGAAAGAAATGTAAAAAAATACTTCCACATCATATACTGCGTTTGAACATTTACAATCTTTAACGTAAGAATAGAGAGTTTCCTCCAACGCCAAAGACGAGGATGCGAAAAAACTCCTTTTTACGCTCGCACTCTGCAGTCAATTCCTGCGTTGAAAACAGCAAATCGCAATGACCACAGATAGATAGCTGCACTTCATACTTTGTTACTTCGAACGTCTGCCACCAAAGCCTACGTATCAAACGAGCTTTGACGGCTGTTGGCACAGAAAGCAGACGACGAACAGATCACGTGATACATTTGCTCGATTTTATCCAACGTTACCCTTCGATCGAGAAGTGTAGCGTGAGTAATTACTCCGGAGTAAACAACCCTCTTCTGGAACGCGAGTTCTGACGTCATCGAGAAAGCGCGAATAAGTTTTGAAACGCCACTGTACGAAACCTTTACTCCGGAGTCGGATCGAGTAAATTTTTGGAACACAGCCTCTGTTTAATCCCAGAGCGCTACATGTCCCTACGAGCCACTGAAGCCAATTGGGCAGTGCCAAAAGCGCGAAGTCATGGCGTGTGTCATCTTTATGTTTGTGTATTATTATCGGCTGAATCAGTCAAGCACTCTGACTGCGCCGCGACCGTGCCCCTTTAGTATGCCCGTCCGTGTTTGTACGTACGCCTTCTACCTTCGAACGCGCTCTGACTTATGGTAAAATAAAATATAGTCGCGGCGGAAAATGTCGTTCGATCAGACGTTTACTGCTTTTTTTTTCTAACTTTGATTACAGAAGACAAGAATCCAACACCAGAACCCGCAGTATAACCTAGCGGCCACGGAATCAAGAGCATGGAGTTATTGGCGGCCAACGGCACCTGGCTGTCCAATTCCGAGTCGTCCGTGGAAGACGACGATGACCTTCCGGATGACTACGACTATGAAGAGTCCGCCACCCGCTACGACCTAGCAGACCTGGTGCCCACAGCGACGGTGTACGGTTCCACGCTGCTGCTCGGCCTGGTAGGGAACCTGCTCATCGTGTACACTGTGGCCAGATTTCAGCGTATGCGCAGCATCTCCAACATCTTTCTCGCCAGTCTGGCAACGGCGGACCTCCTCATCGTGCTGCTCTGCATCCCCGTCAAGGTGAGAATGCATAGTAGAAAGTGAAAACAGATGGCGGCATAAGTTCGAAATTAAATGCCAGCTGTCCGGGGATGAATTCCACAGTGCAGAGAGAAAATAACTTCAAATTAGGACCATAATTAGAGCCTTCCCCGATATCAGTGTAATTCTGACCTAGTGAAACTCAAAAGAAAGTATTCACACAACGCGCGAATTTAAGGTAAGGCCGTCCTGCATGGAACCGTATGCTATTAAATTACAAAGAATCAAAATTTGTATGATTTTTATGGCAAGGTACGGGGACATCTGCGTAAACTTTTAACCCTATTGGGGGAATGTGCGAAAAACAAGAGATGACATCGGCTCTGCGGAGTTCGCTTTAAAAAGTTCGTGAAACTATATACCGTTGGGATGTTTCTCATCTTAACCTACCTCACTGGCACTAGTGGGACGCAGGTATGGTCGTACATGACGCCACTGGTCAAAAAGCTTCTTGGTCACTGCGAAGTTTCAAGGATTAAAACTGACTTACTTCTTCAGTCTCTACTTCGTAAAACTTGATGACGGTTAGATGACGTAGTCGTGTTGCTTTGCTGACGTGAGACTCCCGTGGTGACGATATTTGAATGCAGCTCACAGATTGAACACGATCACCGCATGAACACACGGCTTCTTCTCGTGGCGACCAATGCCTCAACGAGCATTCGGTTAGGCCCGTTCAGGTTTGAGCAGCTCTCCAGGCGAGCAAATTAAAATATTTGTGACTCGCGTTTCGAACATGCGTCATTGTACTTCCCCACTGCAGTTTTTTTATAATATTTTTCATTATGGGTGAAAGCGTAGCAGAGGCAGAGGTAGAGGCAAATGTGCAGTAAAGTCCCTCTATCTTGGGAAAAGTGGCGCCATTCATTGTTGTGGAAATGCTCGAGACACGTGCCGCGCGCCACCTCTGGGAAGAACAAGGCGTCTGATATCTAGCTCTGTGCTGCGCTGTGCCGCCATGATTTTCCCAAGTGCTGCACGTTGCACGTGCCTCGTGCATCGACGCACTTTGCGCTACTTTTAAAATGTGAGTGAAGTGGCTTTAAAGTGCAGCCCCCCGCACCGCCATCTTTATGTACCGAGTCGCTTGAAATGCCCGAGCCGCATGAGCGACGATTGTGGAATCATGGCGACCGGAGCGGCGTCTATCTCCCTTTCAATCAGGCAGGAGCTCGTTGGTTGGAAGGGAGCAAAGCCAGCAGACAAGAAGGGACGCGCGTGTGCATTGTGCCGTTCTCGGCACTATACTGCCGGCGTCAGGAAGGTCGGCGCTCCGGCGTTATCTCTGTGACGTCACTTCCGTGACCACGTTTTCACGACATCGACCTCCCAACATTGCACCCTCTTCCAAGTGCAGAGAAAGTCATAGTTCTGCGTCAAAGAAAGCACCCCAATCTACTATTTACATGCCTCAAGCTCAGGTACAACGATGCCGAAATGTCCCGGAGCTCGAGACGCTCCCGAGCGCCCCAACCTGCCCCCAGCCGAATGGTGGCGCCCGTGGGACTCCTACTAAGACGGTACTAATGATGAACCATAGGATAATTTAAGTGGCCCCAATATTTGTACGAATAATATTACACTACGTTTATTGATAAAAGTTTTTCTAGACAACTTATTAGCAAGAATCTTGAAATATATTTTTTTTTCACAGCAGCGGAGCCTAGCGGCCGGCAGAGACAACATTGCGATTAATGAATTAACCTGCTACGTTGTGTACCAATTCACGGAGCACTTATCTTGGTCAAGAAAAGCCTAAGTGTCCACAGCTTACGTTTACTTAGGGCCGGTTGCACCAACGTCACTTACCTTAACCCAAAGCGGCTCTTTTTTAAGTCGGCTTACCGTCCTAAACCGAGCTCGGATAAGCGCGGGTTTAAATTCCGGTTGCACCAACGTTAACCCGGCTTTACAGACGCGCCCCTAGCTAAACGCTGGATTTGCCTAGGGAATGTAGGGACAAACAGAGCGAACTAGGGAACGCTCGGATTGACGAATACGATTGGCGGTGAGGAATTTCGTGATGTAAACAAAAGAACCTGCTGCAGTCGGCGTCTGCTTTTCGCTGTATTTCTTCATTGAGTAAGGAATTAAAGATCTCCAAATTCAACCTTTTTTTTTTTTTCGCTTAACTTTCAAAATAGGAGTCAACGCTTTAAATAAACACGAATGCTCTTCACATCCGTGACTGTGTGTTTAATATCGGTCAATAACAGAATATTTTGACCGTGACAGTAGTTTTCGTGCTCACATTTAGAAATGAAGGAGCCATCAAGGGCCCCATATCTCACCAAACGCGAGAAAGACGCTCTACTCGCTACATCGCTGAAGACAAAACATCATCGAGAATAAGTAGGCAGGTAAGATGACTACTAAAATCAAGTCATGCCTGAGACCGATGAAGTTCAAAACAGTGACGAACGCGCCACGGCAGCTGCGAAAATGCCCGGAAATCGTCGAATAGAAGTCGTCGAGTTGTCGTCGCCACGAATGAAAGCTGTAAAGCAAAATATTCCTAAAAAACGCGATCACCAGAAAAGTTACGGTTATGAAACGATACAGTTTTCTGAAGCCAAGATTCTACTCGCGAGACAAGAAAAGTTCACCGAGGATTGCCTCGAAACTCAGAAAACAAAAGAACTTGACTTTTCGCTGTTTTATCATTTAAAAGCGCCGCAATCTGATGCAAACGGCAGAAGTGTCGACAATCAGCTGATCGCCGAGGTCATGAACTGCCACTATTCAACGCGCTGATCGGATTGAAGGATATGCGTTGCAAGTAGAAATAAACAAGGTGGTAAATAACAATACGTTACAGTTATGCGAAAATCAGTAAAGTAAGTACATACGAATAAGCTTGTTGGCAGAGTAACCAACCGGAAGACAGACGTGAGCCCCACAGCTCCGTACGTATCTCGGTTAGGGCTAACACGCACTGAAAGTGGAGAGCCAACTTGAAAACAGGGGTCGATAAACACTTTACGCGACAATATTTTGCATCCTTGTCACAAACGAAGGTCATTCTGGCGAGACTCTCACGCTGTTGTGGCCTAAAACACCTTGTACAACCGATTTCGTCCACCGCGTCGACCGCCACAAACCAGCCGCCATGTTTTATATCCAGGATTAAGAAACAACCAAAAGCAAAGCGCCCAATGTTGAGCGCTTAGGATAAGCGTAGTTTAGTGCTAGGTTTAGCGATAAGCGATTTTGGTGCAACCGAACGAAACCGAAACTTAGCTTAGGTTCCCGGCTAAGCTCCGCTTTGCGTAAGCGGCTTTGGTACAACCGGCCCTTAGAGTTCCTGTATAGGCTCCCTACGGAAGCCAGAGTTGCGCGTCTGTTTTCCACGTGCCGCCGCGCCGCTATTCGCCGAGATCCGATCACGTGAGGAGCCGAATCAAGTGATGTGCAGGAAAGTAGACGTTGCACGCGCCCCGCCGTACGTACCCCTGCTTCTGAGCGCGCCGCATGCCGTGCAGGAAAGACGGCGCTACGGAGATGAACGCGAAACTGGCTCCCGTAGGGAGCCACTACAGGAACTCTACGTTTACTATATCACTCTATGGGATATCATTTTCTGATCGCGTGGCCGCTTGTTCTGACTGAGAGTAGAAAGGGTGAACTCTGCTCAATTACTCTCTTTGCTGCGACTGCGTGGAAGAAAAAACTAACGTGCGTTGAATAGGTTGTGAATGTCAAGGAATAATTGTAAACAGTGTTTGCTGAAACTACAAAAAAATTTTGCAAAGACACTTTCTAAAGCTGCGATCCCAATGGCGGTTGAACAGTATTCGCAAAGTGGCTGCGAGCGCGGTTGCTGCCACCGAAAACCCCGGCATTGCTAATTTTTTTATGGTCTCAAACGCTTTAGAAACGCGTTATATAATTTTTAAAAAAAGGATCATCGCGTACAAAATTATTTTTGGTGTGCGAAATCAATTCTCATAACTCCGTTTGTCCGTTCTGTGGTCGGTGACAGCTTAAGGAGTTTAGGGCGAGGGAAAAGAAGGCTGGGAAGGAGGGAGAAGGCGGAATGGGGGGAGAGAGGGAATGCTTCCTCCTCTCCAGTCCTCCTTTTCCACGCCCTGAACTCTTAATCTGTCACAAAATATAGTTCTCGTTCACCGTACTGCTCCGAAGTTTCAGTGTTTCTTTTGCCGAGCCCCTTTCGATATGGATGCTCATTGTATCGACGTGCGCTCGTGTATCACTTACTGCGTGATATACGTAAAAGACCCCTTGCTCACAGTCGTACTGCAATGGCTAAATTTATCATCTGCAGTGGGTAACAATGTCGCCATACTATACGGACCAAACTCCCGCTGTATAGACAATAAACGACTAATTTCTTGTTTTATTTTTGCCAAGCCCTCGCAAGCCATTTTTCTTTTTTTCGCTTCGACGCGTTTTTCGGATAGAGTCTTTCACGAGAAAATCGCAGCGCAGCAGTGCGACATTCTTTATTAGAGAGTTTTAGAGTAGGAGGCCCCAAAGCTTGCGGGCCCTGAACAATTGAGTGCCCACCAATGCGCATGCGCAAAACCCAAACATCGTTTGGGGTTTTGGGTTGGCACTCGCTCCCAACGCAAAACTCGAGAAATAGCGTAGGGCGCCTATTTTCTTGCGAACGGGTTGCGTCAGCAAACATGGCGGTGCCATTTCCACTCGCGTCGGAGCACATTTGTCATGGTCGCTGCAACATTAGCCGATTTCATAGCCAATGAATGGTGCGACCGGCTTTCGCTTTGCTTTAATCCGCTCATGTCACGAAGAATGAGCGGTGGGCTCACCCCATTTTAAAGATCGTCCCCGATTCTGGCCGTTTCTAAGCCTAAAGAGACGCGGTAACCGTTGGCATGGCAACGTATTGCTACTCCGTGGCTTCGAATGGATTTCGTTCGTGGCACGATACGTGCAGCTTGAAAGCAATTATTTCAAGGCTTCAAAGTCGCTACAGCTCAGATGTGAATAGACTA